CGGAGATGTTGTGGATTCCCCATCCCTGGAAGTGTCCAAGTCCAGGCTGGATGAGGCTCTGACCAACCTGGTCTGGTTGAAGGTGTCCCTGCCCATGGCAGGTGGTGGGACTGGGTGGGTTTTAAAGTCCCTTCCCACCTAAACTGTTCCATGACTCTGTGATCAGGAGTACATGAATCAGCTGCTGAAGTCGCTGTCGGCTGCTTTGTAGCCCTGCTGACAGATGAGTGTGGCGTGTGGCCGTTGCAATCCCAGCCCCGCTGATGAAAATGTAAATGTCAGTGGCTTCTCCAAAGCGCTTGGCACCGAGGAGCCCCGATGCCTTTCCAAGCGAATCCCACAAGCAGTGTGTCGAGGACAGCCAAGCTCTCTGGGGCTGTGGCCAGGTGCCTGAAGCAGCCAGAGCATTGTGCTTTCAGAAAGCGTCCTTCCCCTTGGACTCTTGTTGTCACTCTAAGAAGTGGGGGGCCACCGCAGTCCTTGGGCTGCATGTCCCCTCCTGGCACACCTCAGCCCTCCCCCAAACCCCAGAGCTGGCTGCTCTGCCCCGGGACAGGCTCTGCCCCAGCTCTGACGCCCCAGGAATGCTCCGGGGGAGCCGGGCATGTTGCAGCAGGGAACACAGGACTCCAGCCCCGTGTCCTCTGCCTGGGGTCAACAAGAGGGTTAATTCCACTGCCCTGAGTGTCTCAGAAGCCCCCGGTGAGACCCACTCACATTTCCAAACATCCAAACTGCTGTTCCTGGTGTGGCTGGAGGATTTCTGCAGACTCATTCAAATGGAAAACTATCCATTTCCACTGGGCGCTTGAATCTAACATGATGGGAGAGTACGAGGAAGGAAAATGGGAAGCAGAGTATGGTTTCGGAGTCTGTTTATTCTGCCGACCACCCGAGGAGCAGCTTACACTGATGGAGCGTGGTGGGTGGGACTGGGGATCCTCACTGGGGCTGATGGGGTTAACGAGGGAAATTTGTACCCGCAGGAGCAGTGCGTCCCATTTATTATAATAAATAAACCTGCAAATGGGTGAAATTGGTTTAAAACAGAAGGTTAGATGGATCTGGATGAGAGGGGCTCTGGCTGGGTGATGGGCCAGCACATAATTGGGTTTTGATCATTGTGGAGGGGGTGTGCGAGGCAGAGAAAATCTGGCTGGTTTTTTCTTACTATTGGCTATATACTATCTCTTTTCCACTCTAAGTTTTTACCACTTCATAATTTGGTGGACTCTGCGTTCAAACTCTTGACTCCCTCCCCCGATGCTGCTCGCACCTTGAGGGTGCCGAACCGGGACCTGGCTCAGGAGCGATGGAAAATGATCTGTGGCTCAGACAATCAGCAGACCCCTTGGGCTGGGTTCCTCGGGGTGATTTGTGGCAAGGAAGTAGCTATTTGTTAGGCTAAGGGTCCCTAAATAATTTTGGAAGTACCGCTGGTAGCATTCTGCATCATTTGGCACCTGAATGCCTTTTCAGGATGGGAATGGGAGCCCTGGGACAAGAAACAAGCCGTTCTTTTTAACCATTGATTGTGGCAAGCGGGAAGCATTGCAGGTCCACGTTTTCCTTTACCCTGCCTGTCCTCTGCCTCGTGCAGGTGATGCTGGCGGAGAGGAAGGGCACGGACGAGCTCTACGCCATTAAGATCTTGAAGAAGGATGTCGTTATCCAGGATGACGATGTAGAGTGCACGATGGTCGAGAAACGTGTCCTGGCTCTGTCTGGGAAGCCTCCCTTCCTGACCCAGCTCCACTCCTGCTTCCAGACGATGGTAAGTGCTGGTGCCACAGCCGGCGCGGAGGGCAGAGTGGGCTGGGGACCCTCCTGCACCCTGAACGTGGAGCAGGGGGAGTCCAACACTTTGCAAAATGGGATTTAGTCACTTGGCTTCACTGGTGAGTTTGTGGGCAGAAACCCACAAACTAGAGACCCGGTGTCACCAGTTATTGGGGACCAGTGCCCTGCTGGGTGCCCGGGAGCTGTGTGGATGGAGCGGTAGGGATTTCTGCCCTGGTCACGTCACTTTAGCTTCTCTAAAACAAGCTGTTGCTTTTATTCATGTTTCTTCTCTGGATATACATCACTACGCTTGCAAAAGCAGCTGTGTATTTTCAGCCTTGCCAACCTCACGATGTGTCCAGTTTGCTTGCAGAACTACGTCCATGAACAAAATGTGTGTTAAACTGGAGACGGAAACGTGTGAGATCTGCACCCCTGAGACTGTTTTTGCTGGGGAGCTGTTGGCGTTAGATGTGATTTCCCAGCCTCCCAGGTGCCCCCTCAGCCTGTCGTGTCCGTTATGATTCCATAGCGAAGTGCTGCCCTTGTTCTTGGGATTCATTCTTGTCATCAAAATCCTGAGCAGAGAGTGAAACCTCATACAGACTGCAGGAAATTCAGTTTGAAATGGAGTTTGTACAAATGAGAAAGGGGAGGGGGAGCAGGGAAGGGGACGGGGACCTTTAAAGCAATTTCTGCCCAACCATCGAGCAACCTGCAAGTGAAAACGTCCAGGTGCGTGTCAGCGGGAGCAGGGAGAGGGAATCAGCAGAGTCCTTTAGAACGATGACAATGCTATCCAGGAGGATTACATTTTAATATTATCCCAGAAATTTCATTTACCAAACACATTCAGTGTATTTAAAGCCTGTGGACCGGCTTTGCAGCACAGTAATCAAAATGTGGCAGGAGAAGCTATTTCACACAGCATCTCTCTGGCATCTGAAGTGAGTCAGCGCAGGATTATTCCTGGCAGACCTATAGTAGCTTAATAGTAATCGTATTTGTAATGTAATCAAAATGTATAGCAGGGTGTATTATCAACTGCTGGCACAAAGCACTTTGATTTCTGGGAGCACAGTCCTGAGCACGCTGCTCAGCCAGGGCTGTTAGTGCAGCGCCCGGCGGGAGAGAGAAAAGCCCTAAATCTGCGTTTTAAAGAAAAAGTGAAGATGCGCAGTGAGAGAGCTCCCGCGTGGGGCTGAAGGACAAGAGGAGCCCCGTGCTGCTCCAGCTGAGCGATCTTGGGGTGCTCTGCCCCGAAAAGATCCTGGGTCTGAGCCTGGGCTCCTGGGAGCAGGGTGACCAGGGTGTCCCCAAGTGTCCCCGGGTAAGCCGTGCCTTCGGTGATGACTGCCCTTCCCTCGGGGACTCAGCAGTGAAGGACAAAGCAGCAGCAGTGGCACTGGGCAATGATAAACAAGGGGTGGATGGAGAACTCGGCTGTTGTCCTGGCTTTGACTCCTGTTCACAGTGTGGAGTCAGGCGGGAGATGAACGAAACGAGTGGTTAATTATAGGGCCTTGGAAGTAGCCCCGGCAGCTGCGTCTTGGCTGCCCAGGGCAGGACGAGGTGTTTTACCAGCTCTGTGCACGTCCCTGCAGGGGTGTGTCTGCAACTCGCTGTTGCTCATTGAGTTTGGATGCTCCAGACTCGGGCAGACCCTGGCCTTTTCTGCCACAGAGAAGAGCCAGGACAGCTTTCCATACCCATCCCTCTCTTCCAGCCTGTAGGCTGGCCAGCCATCTGGCTGCTTTATTCATGATGGGTTGGATTTTTTCCTCTGAAGCACCAGCAATCTCTTCTCCACCCAAATGAGGAAAGCTCAAATCCTGCTTTTAGAGCTCAGCTGGCTGTTTCAAGAGACCATCTTTTTAATATTCTTCCTTCTTGAAGTTGATCGATATATTTAGGAAACAGCTGAAAATGAGCTCAGTGCTGCCTGGCTTTGCAGGGACCGTCACAGGTTGCCTGGCCCGGCATCGGCTGGCGAAGGTGACTTTGCCTGCCCCACGCCTCCCTGCTGAGCTGGGCTGAGGCCTTGGCAGGGACAGTCATTGGCAGAGGGACATGCTCCAAAATTCCCAGTCATCTGATAAGCCAAAATCTCTTTTCTATCCCATTAATGCCACATGTTTTACATAGCCTGATTGCCCCTTGGGTACCGGATTTTAGTCCCTTGGAGGCCGCCCCGCTGTCAGGGTACGCTGTGCATCGCCGGGGTGGAGGAGCTGATTACCCCGTTCCTCCCTAGCCCGTATTATGGTAATGCTCACATTTGCATATCTTCTTGTCCTCACAGTCTTAAAAGCAGTGCAAGGTTTATTTAAGGAGGAAATGAGGACCGGGAAGTATTATGGGTTATTATGGAATGCTGCCATCCTGAAGCTCTCACAGTGCTCCAGCCTTTATGTCTTCTCGTGGCAGAGGGCTGGACCGAGCCTGGGGACGTTGGTGGGCTCCTGTGCCTCGAGGAGCCTGTTGCTGGTGTGGAGCTCCCGCTTGCCCAAATCTCGAGTCTCCCAGGGCTTGCAGGGCTCGTGCTCCAGCTCTGTTTGAGACGTGGCGTGATAAGATCCATCTGCTTTTGTTTTATTAATCCACAGTCCCGAGCTTTGTAAGGATGCTCGGGTGTTGTTCACTGCCTTGGAGCTCTCCTCAGAGCTGATTGTGGCCCACAATTTCTGGAATTTCCAGCCATGTTTAGAAGACTGGGTCTACATCTAGCAGGACTAATGCTCGCAATAAATGCGGTGGCAACCCCCTCGCCAGCTCCTTGTAGCCAGCGTGGCTCCAGGGCAGTGCACGGTGCAAGCCCCCCCAGGGCTTGGTTTTCCCTGGGGACAGCCTGGTGTAGAGAAAAACAGAAACCCACTTGAGAATTTCTTAGGTCTGCCCCAATGTGGCTGCCACTCCATGAAGGGGAGGGGTGCTTTAATCTGAGGATTCTGAATTAATGAAGGCAAAGTGTGTTCTGCACATTAGGGGCAAAGTCAGTGTGTGATTATAGGTGATTGCACCTATTAGCAGGTGTTTTAATTGATTCCAAGTCACTGATTGACCTGTTTGTTCTACTCTTAACGATTACTTAATTAATTAACTGTGTGGGAACATTAAGTGCACCCTCAGACTAGGCTGGGAGGAGTGAGGAGAAGGGATGCAGCCCTGCCCCGGGCTGCTGGGTTCCCTGCAGGCATGGGCATCCCAGCACTGCCACAGGCTGCTCCAGGGAGAAGATGAGGCTGGTGAGCTGGGAATGTCGCAGGTCCTTCCTGGTGCTTGGCCAAATCCTCCTGGTCACTGCCTGTGCACAGAGGCTGGTCCCGTAGGACCTGCTCACGTCTCTTCTGCACCTCTTAGTCAAAGCCACACGGTGCCTGGGGAAATACCAGTGAGGAGCTGGAGATCCAACGCCCTGCAAAAGGGCTTCAGTGAAGAACGAGAGCAACTTCATTAATGGGAAGTGAAAAACTGGTTTAGGAATTCCTCCACTTCCCTTCTCTGTTGGATCTGTCCACAAAGGTGCAGAGCTGAAGTCCAGAGCATTGGAAAGGAGTTAGTCCATCTGTCTTTCGGACTCTGTACGAACACGAGCTCCGCCGGCACCCCCTGCGGAGGGCAACGATGATGGTTGTATTGCCATGAAAAGTACAGACTGGAGCCGTCCTTTGCCTTGGTCCTGCCTTCTGACCCCTGCAGATCCCCCGCTCTAATAATTCTGCTGCTAACTGTTTGCTTTTTCTCCTTTAGGATCGCTTGTATTTTGTGATGGAATATGTGAATGGTGGGGACTTAATGTACCAGATCCAGCAGGTTGGGAGGTTTAAAGAGCCGCATGCTGTGTAAGTTCTGTAGCCCTAGTTTGGCATCTTCAGGGTAGGTATTTGATGTGCCTTTGTCATGGGAACACAGCCCAAGCCACAGGCTCTTCTGGTGCAATACCTGGGCAGAAAGGGAGGGGAAAGGAAGGACGGCAGGAATCGGAAGATGCAGGATGGTCCTTTGCCTGGTGCCAAGGATGCTGGTGCCTCCAGCTCATCTTTGGGGTACATTGCACTTATTGATAGGTAAATAATTCATAATAGCAGCAGGCAGGGAGGTTTGGAGGCTTCCTGGGAGATGCCGGAGCCGCTGTGCTGCCAGCATGCCTCTTTTCTGCCCTCTGCCCTTCCCCAGGACAGAAGGGGGATGTTGGGTCTTTGGATCCAGCACTGGCGTTGCCAACCTAAGTGTTACCTGGTAGCTTTGGCTCCTGCTCCTGTAAATGTGGGCAGAGGAGACTGTGTTCGTAAAAGCCTTTGTATGCTTAAAAAACGCACACACCAAAACAGTGAGCAGCGCCCGGGTGGGTTTGGACCGGCGTTCTGCACTCTGGCCGAGTCCTCTGGGACCGTGGTGATGTGTGTTATCTCCTCAGCCTCCCCCAGATGACAGATAGCTTTTCAAGCTGCATTGCCTGCACACAGTAACGAGCAGCCGTGGTTCCCAGCTCTCGCTTAATGATAATTTGTGTAACGGGAAGTGACAGGCCCCTGCTAGCCCACAGCAACCTGATCGCATCCCCACCCGATGCGAGCGGAGGGTGGGTTGTGTCGTTCTCGTGTGATACTTGTCTGGTATTCTGATGTTGTGGCTGTCTCTATCCTGTGGTCACGTATGCCCAGCGTGATGGGATGTGAAAGGTTTTCATTTGGATTTGTCTCCTTTAATTATCAGTCTTCCTTTTTCAATCTTCCGTTTCAGATTCTACGCAGCAGAAATAGCCATCGGCCTCTTCTTCCTGCAGAGCAAAGGCATCATTTATCGGTAGGTGAGCAAGTCCCTCCTTCCTCTCCTCCCCCGAGAGCTCCAGCCAGAGCAATGCAAACCCCGCGATGCTCTGCAGGGCTCGGGCAGCCCCGCTGCCTCCCTGCTGGTGCCCTGATGGGGTCCGGCAGCTGCCTGCGGGGTTTACGCACCCGCAACAGAGCTGGGAGCCTCGTAGCGTCGCTGGGTTTGCAGAAGGTTCCTGTCTTTGTCCCCGTTTCTTAAGAAGGGAGCTTGGTTTCCTCTCGTGTTGCTTGCATTTCTCTCCATACGACAAATGCTCACTGGCAGCACAGACCAGTTCTGAGCCACGTATTTGGCTGCAGGGCTCTCTTTCCTTACCATTAACGCTAAAATAAGTGCTTATGAATGGCTTATTCTGAGATCTGCAATGCAAGTCTGTCACTTCTGGTTCAGGCACTAAAACTTCTTTTCCATTCACACATGACTGTAGCATCTGGAGTCAGCTAGGTTACTGCCAAGTGCCGGTCAGGGCTCGGAGGCTGCTCTTAGACTAGTCCCGAGCTGCTCTTCCCTGCCTGGGAGTATTCCCAGAGCGCAAGGTAGAGCAGGGCATCCTAATGAGTGTCAGACACCATTAACTGCTCTGCAAACAGAAATGCCAGCTGTGCTACTGAAGTTATGAGATGCTGAAGACTGTTCCGAAGATGAAAGAAGTGGAGCAAAGCTGATGTGAGGGATGTTTTTGCCATCAGCTGCTGCAGAGAGATTCTGGGTCTGCAGGTCCCCAGTGCCCCTTCTTCCTTCCTTCCTCCAAATCCAGGCTTGTGTCCGTCTGCCTTTGGCCCATCAGGGTTCTAAGCACTGTAATGGGGGGAAAAAAAGTCCTAAAAGCAGCAAGAAGTTATAAATCATGCTGTGCCTTTTACTGGGCTCTTAGCAAATTTGAGCCTCCTGCGCTGGGCAGCCCCACAGCTCTGGCTGTTCTCACGGAGCCCTTCAGCCAGGGGGCTCTAAGAAGAGGGCTCACACAGGTGCCACTCTGTCACCTGCCTCGTCACTTGACGTAGCCCTCGGGCAAGTGAGACCTTGCAGACACGCTCCAGAATTGAAACAAAGACCTTTGGGCAATGCTTTTCTGTGCAGAGCATAAGCCAGGCATGGCACCCATCTCTGAATTGGGTGGTAAAGTTTAAATTACACCTGAAATAGAACCATTTCTATTTCACTCAGGTTGGAAGGGACCTTGAAGATCATCTGGTTCCAACCAATATGTACAAATACTGGGTGTTTGCTTCAAAACTGTCCTTCAGGCTTCAGCCCCTGTCCCTGGAGAGGCTGCTCAGGGTTGGGGATCACATCAGGAGCCCTGCAGCTGAAACTGCCTCCACGGTTTGTGCTAAAGAGCAAAGCTCCTGTGGAGTTGGATCCAGCTGACAGATACTGTGTGGATGATGATCAGAGAAACAAGGTTAATTTGTATGTTCATGGGGGAGCGTAGCGTAGGTGATGCAGGGACTTCTGCTGAGTAGGTGCTTCCTCACTGCTGGTGAGCTTTAAGTACACTTCGATTTTCATAGGCACATAAAAAACACTATTAAATCTGTCTCCCTGCTAGGTGAGAGTGTTTTCTGTCGTACACTTGGAGCGGTTTGCCCTGCATGGTGTTCCTGTGGGATAGAAGTGAACGAAACACTTCGTCCTGAGAGATCTCTGACTTATTTTTACTCATTTCCCCAAACATCATGCTGCAAAGAGTGTGACCAGGGTAGAGCTCGCTTGCTGGAGAGCACCTGGAGTCGGGAGATGTGTCGTTGCTGGGTGGCTTCACCTGAGGTCTTTTGTCTCATGGTTTGGATTTCTTTCTGTAGGGACCTAAAGCTGGACAACGTGATGCTGGATAGCGAGGGGCACATAAAGATTGCGGACTTCGGCATGTGCAAGGAGAACATCTGGGACGGGGTGACTACCAAGACCTTCTGCGGCACTCCAGACTACATTGCACCCGAGGTAGGGGATCAGAGAATCACGGGATGGTTTGGGTGGGAAGGGACCTCAAAGCCCACCCAGTCCCCCCCCCTGCCATGGGCAGGGACACCTTCCACTAGACCAGGTTCCTCCAAGCCTCATCCAGCCTGGCCTTGGACACTCCCAGGGATGGGGCATCCACAGCTTCTCTGGGCAACCTGTCCCAGTGCTCCCCACCCTCTGCGGGACGAATTCCTTCCTGATGTCCCATCTGCATCTACGGAGTCACATATGACACTTGCATGAAGTGCTGGATAGGTGCAATTTATTGTCAGACTTGTGAAATTCAGACAGGTAATTATTCCCAAATGCCTGTTCCCTTAACGTAAAAACACCCCTTGAAAATCTTCTCACTCTGCTGAATTTTCAGTGATGAGATTAATATTTATTCATGTAAATCTTTTTTAGAGAAAGATAGTCTCTTTGCTAGGGCGTGGTTAGCTGCACTTGTATGCTAAACTGCATTGTGTTTTCCTGCAGCCAGAGAGGGTTTTAATTGCTCGTTCAAATGCGTATTATGTATCCTCTTCCTACCAAGGTGAATATTGGTGTCCTGTTGGTACGTAGCTCCGTTGCTGCCTGTGATTAATACTCTCTCAGAGCAGGACAAATGGCCAGTTCTCTTGGTATTTGCCTGAGCTTTATCACTTAAACTCTTATTTTCTTTTTGCTCCAATTCTTTTTTTCCAAAAGAAAAACAGAAGAATGGGAAATTAGGATGCAAATCACTACAGCACCCTGGGACGGTATTAAAACCTGCTACCAGTGGGTCTCAGCAGAGTGAACATACACACCCCCTGCTCTGTGGATAGAAATAGGGGGGTACAGGATTCTGGCGTGGTCGTGCTGGGTGGGCAAGCCCGCTGCAGAGCCGGGTCCCCGCCTGCTGCTCCTCTCCATACCTATTCTGCTGGACTCTGCTTCCTCCCGTTGAGAAGCTGCAGTGTTCTGCAGCCAATGTGTCCTTGGGGTAAAAATGTCCCGTGATTTCCTTGATCCATTTTCAGGGCTTTTTCTGATCTAAGATGCAGCTCTGCGTGCCAAGGTGACAGGTACCAAGTGCAAATAGCCCCGCATGTGTGATTTCCTCTGAACAAACCGTGTTCTTCAGCTGTCGGGTTTTGACCTTCCCTCATGCGCGGTCGGGGACTTCAGTTTACAGAGCCTGCTTTTCTGCCAGGGTTTCTTCTGAGCACTGTTTTCCTTTGAAGGCCTTGACGGTGTGAACAGTTCACACCTAAATTTCCCAGAGCACTCGTCCATCACCTAACCAACGAGCGGGAGGAACTTCAAGTGGAAGAATTACGGAGCTGACACTCGACGCCCGCTCTCGGTGCGAGGGTCAGGCCGGAGCGCCGGATGCTGTCACAGCACTCGGAGCCTTGTCACTGTTTGGGCGTGTGGCTGGACCAGGACCAGGACAGATGAGGAGATGGGCATCAGGCTTGTTCTCAAGCTGTGCCTCGGTGCTGATGCTTCGCAGGGTGGAACTCATCTCTTCTTAGGCAGCACCTGACCCGCACCCTGACGTACCTCCTGGCTCCCGTTGGACGCTGGGGATGTCTTCTGCAAGGGCAGGGATGGCTGGACATGAGGACGCGAGGCTGCAGGCATTTCCCGCAGCCGTGGGATGGGAGCCTTGGTTGGGAGCAGGGGTAGCATCGGCAGGAGGAGACCTCTGCCGGGTACCTTCTCCTGCGATTAGCATACCATTTGCATTTGTGCTGGAGTATTGGAACCTTTGCAGAATAGAAATCTGTAATTAGGATGAATAAATCGCATAATTGTTTTGCGTTAAGTAACAGATGGCAAAGCCTAAGGCCTGTCAAACCCCAGACGCTGAGATGACGCCCAGCAGCAGCAACCCAGCAAATAAACCGGAGCTTGGAAGACCCTTCCAAGCAGAAAGGTGCCCACGGGAGCCCGGCTCCTCCTCGGTGCCCACGCTGGGCCTGTCTGTAATTAGGATGAATAAATCGCATAATTGTTTTGCGTTAAGTAACAGATGGCAAAGCCTAAGGCCTGTCAAACCCCAGACGCTGAGATGACGCCCAGCAGCAGCAACCCAGCAAATAAACCGGAGCTTGGAAGACCCTTCCAAGCAGAAAGGTGCCCACGGGAGCCCGGCTCCTCCTCGGTGCCCACGCTGGGCCTGTCACTGCTCCTTCAGGGCTGCAGCATCCCGCCGCAGCCGGGGTGTGCTGGAGGGCCCCCCCGTGCTGGAGGGAGGGGAGGAGGGGGCTGGCTTCTGGCAGAGCCCTTGGCCAAGGGTGCAGACCCAGCAAGGGACATGGAGAGCCACGCAAGGGACACGGACTGTCCCAGGGCTGGGCTGGTTTCTCCACCAGCCGCTTGACTTGGTTGTATATGGGGTGTTGTCAGCAGGATCTGACCCCCTCCCGGGGCTTGGCTGTAGGTACCCCAAAACACTGACACGTGTAGGTGAGGCCACTTGCCCTATGGAGAGGGGTGAGCTGGCTGCTCTGCTGCAGGATTGTACGGTTGTGACATTTAGGGTGTTCCAGGTTTGGCAGAGTAAGTCATAGAAAAACACAAATATGCATGTTTTGGTGCACTGTCCAAAATAAACGTTGATATTTTTAAATTTGAAACCTCAACCAAACCCCAAAGTTAGCTCATTATTCGTTTTAACACCAAAACAACCACGTCGCTCAGGTGAGGGTAGGGCTGTTGGTGTTTTGGGAGGGATGTTCTGCAATAAGTAATAGAAAGCAAACTGGCAGCCTGAAACGCAGAGGGTTCTGACAACCCATATGCTACGAGTCTCTTTTAAAGGGCCACGTACTCATCCGCAGAGAGCCAGACTCTGCGTTGTTATTTCAAACCAACCGCACTGAAGTCAGTGGGAAAAACCATCCCCAAGTGCATCAGGGTGGGGAAAAACGGCTGCTGCTCCCGCTCCGAGGCGCCTGGCTGCGACACGTCTGCTGGAGCACAACAAATATGCCAAAGTTTCGTCTGAATGGGAATGAATTTGTCTCAAATCACAGTGAATATTCTGAGGGGGGTTTGTCTGAGATGCCGTGCACATTTGAGGGCTGATGATTTTGAAACCGCTGAACCCATTGCCTATCCTGTGTTCTGTGTGTAACTGCAATTTCCCACCATTCAGGGGCCGGTGTCTCAGTAAATAACCTTGTCCTGTTGACCTGGACTACAGCTTGAAATGAGTTTTTATTGTGCCAACAGGTTAAAAAGGGGAGTGTAATCCTGCTGTTTGTGTTGTTTTCAGATAATTGCTTATCAGCCCTATGGGAAGTCTGTGGATTGGTGGGCATTTGGAGTCCTGCTCTATGAGATGTTAGCTGGCCAGGTAATTGAATTTTAATTGATTCCTACGGGATCGTGTTACGTTCCATCGCGAGCATATGCTGACTTGTGGTGGAGGGGGCCGTCTCCTCAGTGCCGGAGCCGTGGCTGCAGCCCTGGGACTGCGATGCTGAGACACGAGTCCCCGCGCGTCGCAGCCGGGGCTGACTTTGGAGCTGAGGATCGCAGCAGCAGACAGAAGCTCGGAGGTCAAGAAATGCCGCTGAACCTCTGTTTCCTTTGCTCTAGGCTCCCTTTGAGGGAGAAGATGAAGACGAGCTCTTCCAGTCCATCATGGAGCACAACGTAGCCTACCCGAAGTCCATGTCCAAGGAGGCAGTGGCAATCTGCAAAGGGGTAAGGGCTGCCCCCCGGTTTCTGGGAGGGGGGAGAATGTAGCGGGTGGGTGCAGAGCCGATGGGTGCAAAGCCGGCTGTGCACCCGGCAGTCTCAGACACGCAAGGACCCAGCCTCTCCTTGCTCGGTCCCGGCAGCACGCTCCTGGCACACGGTAAACCTGCCAAAGCTCGGTTGTGTCCTGCTGCCCTTGCTCTCTGCTCCTAGCACCACAACTTGTGCTCCTCTGTGTATGTGTACTAAACACCACGAAAAATAACACCTACACCCTTTCTGGGTGGTTACGCTACATGCGAGGGCTGGTCTGTCTGTGCTGGGGTGAAGGTGAGGAGCAGGTCGGAGAGCTGGACGGGATGTGGGACTTGAGGGCGTCTGCCCAGAGACACGTCCTCGGTAGGTGGCAACACAGAGGTTTATGCACCTTTGCGTGGAAAAACAAACGATGCCTAGAGAAAGTGAAGGTGATTTCTAAATACTTTTCCTAAGATCAGATACAAAACCTTCCTTGGTTTCCGTTTAGCTCTGACGAGTTGCCGTTTAGGTGGACCTGGAGGGGGTCCACACAGTGCTGGTGTGGGTCTCGGGGGGTGCCAGGGCTGTATTTTCATTATCGTGTCTCTTAGTTTACAGTGAAGCTCTGCGTTGCCCCATGTTCTGAGCTCTCTAAGGACTGGGCCTGAGCAAGCCTTAAGTGCAGGCTGGGTTAATTTGGGTCGTGGTGAGGAAAGGCTGGCGAGGTCCTGATGTTATGGATATGGTTATTGCTTGGGACTGAGCCTTGTCTCAGCCAGCCAGTGTCAAACTGTGCTATAAATATGTGTTTGTGTAGGAATTTTAAAAAATGTTTGCTTTTAATAGTTAATATTTAAAATATCTGAATGTTCTGTATCTCAAAATAGTCCTTCTGTCCACAAATGACACATCTTGCGCTTAACGCTCCCACTGCGGCATTTGAAAGCCTCTTTCCAGTGTTGCCAGGATCCAAAGCTGGTGTTGCAGAGGAATATTGGCTCGTCCCGTGGGGAAAAGCTGCTGCAGGCATTCCCCACCTGGAGCGGGGTGCAGGGAGGGGGATGCTGTCCGGGCCGCGGGGCACTCGCCTTCAACAGAAGGTGGTAAAATCCTTAATTCAGAAGCCAGACTGCTGAGGGAAGAGGGAATCTCCACAAACTTTCGCGCCCTCTCTCATTCCTCTTGTTGGCTGGGACTAGACCATGCAACCTGGTCTAGTGGAAGGTGTCCCTGCCCGTGGCAGGGGGGTTGGAACTAGATGATCTTTAAGGTCCCTTCCAACCCAAACCATTCTATGATTCTATGAGGAGAGAGTCCAGGCAGGAGGAACGGAAGATGCTGTGTGATGCTGAACATGGTTCTCCCCGCGGTGCCCGAGGGAGCGGAGGCTGGAAGGGGGACGAGTCTCGCCGTCAGCTTTGTTTGCCGTTCCATCAGTCAGAACGTGGATGCTGTAAATAGACGAGAAGAGACCGTGACTGAAACGTCTGCTGGGTGTAGCTGTAATGGCTTTTCTTGCTTTTGGAAATGTGAGCCTGCATGGGAGGACATTTAGCCACGCTTGGAGAGCGTGGTTCTCTGTAAAGGCTTGTGGGTTGCTGTCTTTTTCAGCAAAGTGGTGGTTCCCTTTGTGCAGCTCTTGTTTCAGGGAAGTGCACAAAAACTCCTGAAATTCTTTGCCGCCACCAAACAGCTACTACAGAAAGTGTAATTAGAAATATGTCTGGTATTTAAGAAAATTGATAAGAGGGAAAATATTTGCATTTTCATTAAAACGGTTTGGGTGGGAAGAGACCTCAAAGCCCACCAGTCCCACCCCCTGCCATGGGCAGGGACACCTTCCACTAGACCAGGTTGCTCCAAGCCTCATCCAGCCTGGCCTTGGACACTTCCAGGGATGGGGCATCCACAGCTTCTCTGGGCAACCTGTCCCAGTGCCTCCCCACCCTCTGCGGGAAGAATTCCTTCCTGATGTCCCATCTCCACCTCCCTCTTTCCTTTTAACCCCATTACCCCTTGTCCTGTCACTCCCTGCCCTTGGAAAAAGCCCCCCCAACTTCCTTGTAGCCCCCCCAGGCACTGGAAGGGGGTCTAAGGGCTCCCGAGAGCCTTCTCTTCTCCAGGCTGAACCCCCCAACTCTCCCAGCCTGTCCCCATGGCAGAGGGGGTCAGCCCCCAGAGCATCTCCGCGGCCTCCTCTGGACTTGCTCCAACCAGTCTATATCATTCTGATGCTGGCGGCCCCAGAGCTGGATACAGTACTCCAGGTGGGGGGAGTCTCAAAGAAGACCCCTGGAATACAGTAAAATATGTCTCAACTAACTGCAGGGGCATCAAGGCCGTGCTGTTCTTGTTGGTACGTGATCAGTCTTCCAGGAGAGCACAAAACCTTCTATCAGCCCAGAGGACAAGCTATTGGAGAAGCTTCTACTCCTAAATGTGAAGGGTTTGGTATTTCACGGCCATGCTCTCCAAAGCAATTTTGCTGTTCCCACGCGGTTTCGCTCCGGCATGCCGCTGCCAGTCATCACTTACTGTTGCACAGCTCGGAGATGAAAAACATTTGATCCTGAAAGCCTTGTATCGGCCCGAGCCAAGAAACAAGCGTTAATCAGAGATAGTTGGCTGGGAAGCAAAACGGAGAGTTAACCAGAACACAGCTCCTTGACTCAACAGTCAGCATCAATTAGCGGATCAAATGGAGCATTTCCCTCCTCTGCTGTCAACTCGGATTTTTTCCCAAAGGCTGGTGTCGGAGCTGATGTTTCCGTGGTGCAGGTAGCTTAGCTTTGCTCTCCTCCTCTGGTTATCCAGAGCCAGGCTCCCGTTTCGGACCCGAGGAGCAGCACGCGGGCACTGGCACAAGCCATCTGCCGTTTTCCGTCCCAGGTGGAGGGGTTTGACTGCCTGAGCAAAGCAGCCCCTTTCCAGGTGAACAGATTGCCTGTGCATGTGAGCTCCCTCTTCTGTCTCTGGTACCAAGGGCAGAAAATGGCATGTTTTCCGCCGTGAAGTTTATGGGAATTTTGACTGGGATCTCACCAGCGGTGCCGGGGAAGGCAGGTAGTAGCTGCCTGGTCTCGCTGGCTGCGGGCACGAGGGGGGCGGCTGGAAGGTGGGAGCATTTGGGGGCTGAGCGTGCCCAGGCCATGTGCTGGGGTGGCGGTGGGACCGGTGCCGGCGGTGGCTGCTGCCCGTGAGCCTCGTCACACGTGGGCAAAGATCCGGCAGTGCCAAACGTGTCGGTTGAACGAGCACGCAGCATCCAGAGACAGTTTAGCAACGCAGTTGAGTCCGGACTCGGACTTCCCTGCGCGTGAGCTGCAAACATCAGTTGTACCATCACAGGTATTTGGGTAAAGCACCTTCCCTTTGCAGAGGCCTGAAGGGTTTTCCTTAGCATGGGGATTAAATCAACTCGTTCCTGTTTAGTACAAACAAAGCGAAATGATTATCCTATGTAAGCCAGGAGAGTCAATCTGCATGTTTATGGGGTCCTATATATCAATAACAGATGGTGCCTGCGTGCTCACATGAGAAAAGGCACAATATCAAAAATACTGAGTAACTGCAGCGCAGTGCAGCTCTGTTCCGCTTCACGGGCAGGTACCTGGAGTGGAAAATCTTCCGCGAGTCATTAATCGCCTGAGCTGCTCGGGATCTGGGGTGTGTTAGGTTGCAGGGGGGGCAGTTAACAGGGGCACCTCAGTTTGAGGGGTGGGTGTCTGTAAAAGAGCTTCCAGCCCAAGGCAAGGCCGGGGCTCCGGCTGGAAATGCCGATGGGCAAAGGAGCGTGGCCGTGTTAGTGGGGTGTTGGGGAAGCCGCAGCGCGTGGCTGAGGCTCGGCGGGTGCGGGCAGGGCTGTAGGTGTTTTCACTGGGTGCGCGGGAGGGATCGGGCTCTCCCGCAGGGGAGGGGACCCCTGGCATGGTGTTGCTGACCTCCAGGAGCGAGCCAGGGCTGGGAAGTGGACCAGGGCATGTGGGGAGGGGACAGCGAGCCGTCTGCCCACCGGCACCGCCAATCTCCGAAGCCGCCACGGGCTCAGCCCCTTGCTAACACACATCTGTCCAGCTGTCAGCTGCTGTTACGGCTGAATTTTATGCACAGGCATCTGCGAGCTGCAGCGTTGGTGGAGACACAGATCCCTCGGACACAGACCTGTTGTCCCTCCCTGCCCAAACGGTCTCCAGCAGTAAAAGATGTGCCGGTGTGTTCAGGATCTTACCACGAAGGACCCACCAACAGGTCTCTTTCCATGTTTGCAGAAAGCAAACTAAGCTCTTTGACACGGCAGCCCAGTCACTCAGTTTATTAGCACGTTTCAGGCTCTCACATGGATGCTGGGACCTGCTTTAGGAAAACCGTACGGAGTCACAGGATGCTTCTTATTCCCCTGCACAGCGAAGCAGGACCTGGCTGAGGTGTCAGGATGCTGTCTGGCCCCAACGAGGAGCTGCAATAATCCTCTCCTTCAGCTGAGCCCGAGTAGGCTTGAAGTGGGTGTAGTGACAGCCCTGGGATGGGGATGTTCAGCGGGACATGGCTTCGCCCTGTGCTGCCGGGTCGGCCGGACTGCAGCCAGGGCGGACAGACGCCTGTCCGTGTGCCGAGGGGGATGCGAAAGCTTCACCTTCTCTTCTCACACTGGAGCTTGTTGTTTTTCTACAGAGGGCTGTGTGCTGCAGTACTGAGAAAAACTCCACTATTTGCAAAAAAAAAAGTAAAACACGAGTTAGAAAATAAAATGAGTTGCTTTTGGTTTTGCTGCCACCTCGCCCGCCGTGTCCCTCCGTCTCCAGCCCAGCGGCTCCGGCAGAAGCCCTCGCACGGGCCGGCTCTGCAAGGCTGATGCTGATGCCAGTCACATCCTTGCCCCGAGGAGAGGCAGGTCTTGCCATCTGGAAAATGGCTTGTCCAGCTTTTGGAGCCCGCTGGGCCCTTGCTGTTTGCAGATGGGCTTTGCAGGGGGTGGTGCCGGCTTTGGGAAAGCCTCGCTCCATCAGTCCTTCAGCTGCAGGTTGCCTTCAGCTGGCTGGCATGGATGTGGTGCCGTTCACTAGCGGAGTGGGTAGCGGCTCCATTTGTACGGGATATTTTTATTTTGGGCTTTTTTGGGGAGGCTTTTCCTTGCTTTCAGCTCCCGTTGTAACGTTGCTTTTAAAGATCGGCTTCCCTGAGCAAGTTTGCTTTGTGCAGTCATGGGTGGCAGGGCTGACCTGCCGACACACTTACACCTTGGGGCAGGGGAGCTCTGCCTGGACGTGGGGCCTGGCAGGGGCTCATCGCCCCCCCGGGCCATCTGGGTGCTTGGCTTGGCGTGTGTATTTTTGTTGGAAGATGCTTGCCTACAAAAACCTTTCCTTTCAGTCTTGGCAGCAAGGTGGGGAGGTTCCTGCTCCCTCCAGACCAAGCGTTGGCACCCCCAGGGTGCTGCCTCTCCTGGGGTCTCGCAGGAGGGCAACGGGGTCTCTTGCAGGCCTGTGGCCCCGAGAGATGGAGTCAGGCTTGCTGCAACCTCTGCACGGCTCTGGGATCAGTTTTAACTGCCCTGCTTTTAATAAGCTAGTCCTTTTGTTGCAGGTGTACGGCTCATATTCCCTGCGCTTATCAACACCTTACAAATCTCTGGAATCTCCATCTGATCTCCTAACACAGCTCAAACAATGCCCCCAGGATATTAATGTTTGTACAGCCACCCTTAATTCCCGTGGCCCGTTTCACTTCTCTTATTGAGCCAGTGAAGAGGAGAAGTTTAGGTGATAAACAACATTAATGGGCTCTTTGCACTTTTTTCCTCCAAATTGGCTCTTTCGTTAGAAATTCGCCTCTCGTCCGTGCTCAACCCCGGAGAAGGGGGAGGGGTTCTGCTTCTAGGGCTGATGGAAGTTTCTGAGGGCAGATTGTTCATCTTAAATGGGCAACAGCCTTTAAAATTAGTTATGCAGATGCTGAGAGGTTTGCTGCCAGGCAGAGGGACTGCTGAGCAGCCGTGCCCACATCCTGCTCTATCCGGCTCCCCCCGTTGGTGGGGGGGGTCTGCCAGCACCCTGGCACTGCTTCTTGGTGAACCGATTTCTTTCCCAGAGGAAAAGGGGATGTGCTCATCCCACCCAGCGCTGCGATCTGCTTAGTCTACTGTTGTAAACCATTGTCAACCTTCCCTGTCCCTGGAGCTGCTCCTGCTTCGAGCACCAGGAGCCGGGAGAGGAGACGGGAATCCCTCCACGGGTCCGGGCACTGATGTGGGGCATCCCGGGGCACGGTGCGGGATGCCCAGCCAGACATCGCAGCACCCCAGGCGCTTCTGAACGTGGGCATTTGGTGCGGCCGCTCTGTGAGTGACTGTTTCTTCTCTTTCTCTCCCCAAGCTGATGACCAAGCACCCCGCCAAGCGACTGGGATGTGGCCCAGAGGGGGAGCGGGACATCAAGGAGCACGCCTTCTTCCGCTACATCGACTGGGATAAGCTGGAGCGCAAGGAGATCCAGCCTCCCTTCAAGCCAAAGGCTGTAAGTGTGGCTGCGTCCAGCGGGTCTCTCCCCCTCCTCCTCCCACCACGCGCCGAGTCTCTCCCGCTCGGTCTCTCCTATGTGTGCTCGCGGGTGCGCATGCGCAGCCGGCCCCGCAGACTCCTCCTGCCCGCAGCCGGGCCGCACCGATCCGTTGTCTGCTCAGAAGGTCGCGTCTCCTTGGCTTCAGCCCGTGTCGATCCGCTGCTGTCTAAGGATAACCCTCAGACGCCTCGTCTCGCTCTGACTTGCAGGGGTAGCCACACCGCGCACTTAGCACTCGGATTTAACCGCGTTGCAGTCCTGTTTGTGCTCCCGGCGTCAGCCTTTCCGTTGGCTTTTTTCCTCTCTTTTTCTTAAGCTGAACAGGTCTCTCTCTTTCCTTAATCTAAGCTTTATTTCCACACCCAGCTCAGCACCAGTCTGCCTAAACTGGCAGTGGAGCTGTGTTTTCCCTCGACAGTTTCTCTCCAAGGTGAAGCGGTGGAGGCTGGAGCCAGGCTCGCAGGCGGAGAGGAGCTCTGCAGCGAGGAGAACCTGGCTACTCTCTGCCATCTCTGCCTTGCCTCGAGATGGGCTCTAGTAGCCAGGCATGCCGTGTGTGCTGGGTGTGCGAGGCTCGGGAGCGCGCAGCTTTAGGGGAGATGAGCTGCCGGCAGTGAAACTGGGGTGCTCGGGCTTCTCTGTGTGCCCCCACATGCATGGTTTGCTGCAGCGACCACGTAGACTTGGGGACAGGGACATCTCTCTCTGACACTGTTGGGTCTGACAGAGTCGCAGCTATGTTTGAGTCTCTCCGCGGTGGTCCAGGCCCTTAAGGCCTGGGCTTGGTCACGTTTCCACCTCCTGCGTGTCTGTTAGCTGCTCTGCCCCAGCTGGGCACTGGGGTTTTACAGAAAACTGTGAATCCAAAGTTAAATCTGATCTACATGAACTGATATTCATGCCCAGTGATGAGGGTGGGGGCGTTGCACGCTCTCTTAATCCATCATCCTGGATCAAAACTCGTGGTCCAGAGATGCTCCGTGTATTTACCTGAGCCTCCCACTGCCCTTAACAGCCTTGGACACGTCTGCTTTTCCTCTGCTTTGCACTAAACCTGGTCTTTTGAAGGGACACCTTCAGTGCTTGGAAAAACTCTGCTTTCAGGGAAACCATGGAGTGAGAGTCCATTTGGTGTAGGGTGCTGGGCTCCTTTAGCTCCCCTCCCTCTGAACGCTGCTCCGCTCCGACAACCTTTTCCCTTCCACAGCTCCTTGCTTGACTGATCAAATATGGATAAACCGCCCATTAGCTGGGTCTGACGGGAGCCTCCGCAGCCTCGTCTCCCTGCCAAGCGTGCACTACGGGTGGGGGAGCGGCTGCCAGCCGGGAGCTCCGCTCCTCGCTCTGCCAGCGATGCCCTGCGTGCGCCTGGTGCCGCGTAGTTTGGTTTCAGAGAAAGCTAACTCCGGGGCGCGACGCCTTTGCAGGAAACGGTATGGGAACCGTGTGGGGTACACACAGTACTGCAGAGCTTTTGCTTCCGGGGCTGAGAGATGCTTTCTCGGGCTCAGCAAAGAGAAACGGGTCCCGTTCAGCTTGCGTGGAGATGCAGGTTGCTGGGAAGCAGCTGGTGATGGTCAGCCCAGAGGTCTGAGTCGCTGCCTGCCTTCCTTCCCCCGGGAGGAACGGAGCCCTCAAGCCATTAGACCGTGTAGGAAAGGCGTTACTGGGAAGGCATTCCCTGTGATCTCAAGGGCAGTAGCACAAAAGCATTTGGGGCTGTTTGTACGCGCCGCGATTCGATGGCTTTGGGTGGGATCCGGCCTTTGTGTGGAGGATGCTGAGACATGAGGTGGGCTGGTCTGTGAGCTGCAGCATGGGGAGGGAGCGCTGCTCCGCACCCAGAGCCTGTTGGGAGGGCTGGGGGTCTTCCTCTGCAAGATCCTGCTTTTCCCAAAATACGCACCTCCTGCTGTTTCCCACCTCTGTGTTCGCTTGCTCATGAAGCTGGTGCTGCATCCCACCTCTGCGCCTGCCCTTTCTTCCTGGGCAGATCCTCAGTGACACCGTTTGCCTTGGGTTGGGGCACATTGTTTGGTGGTTTATGGTTAAAAACGATGGAATTTTGCCAAAAGAGCTTTCTTGCTGTTTTAAAACATGCGATTTTCATCCTGCTTAAAACGTCTTATTTCCCTGAAAATCCTTCGGACGCTGGGCCTCGGAGGGGGACGGTAAGCTGCCGTCTGTCACGTCTCGCCTAACGGCCGGCGCTGGGGAAAATTCACCATTTGATAGGAGAGGAAGATTAGTGGAAAGGTAGGCACAACTGATTTGGGATTTAGGTAGGATTAAGGCAACTCAGGTACCTGCTGATAGCTGATATTTCAGCAGCCGTGCATCTGTGCTGGGAGAAGCTGCTCCTTTCATGCCAGCTGTGAGCGCAGATCACAAAATCCGGGTTTGGGCACCGTCACAATCTGCTGGGATGGGTCACGAGGAAAAACGCTGCTTACTGCTGCTGACCTTCAGCCGGTCGTACGGGGCTCGAGCGCCTGCTGGGGCGGGGTTTTGTGCTCGCCTGGCTCTTTACCTTGGCTTAAGTCTATTTTTTTAGGTCTTTTTTAATTAGCTTCTGTAAAGATAAAGGTTACAGAGACTGTCTGCAAGACAAAGTTTCAAAATCTGGAATACTGTTCGAACGTGGGCTTGGTGTCTGCCCCCAAACACCCACAGCTTTCCCGTACTCGGGACCCCGTGGTGCCTGAGCACCCCTGTCCTGTCAGCAGAAGTTGGGGTGAGCACAGCCCAGCCCCAATTGTCTTTAGCATCATAGAATCACAGACTGGTTTGGGTGGGGAGGGGCCTCAAAGCCCACCCAGTGTCACCCCCTGCCATGGGCAGGGAAACCTTCCACCAGACCAGGTTGCTCCAAGCCTCATCCAGCCTGGCCTTGGACACTCCCAGGGATGGGGCATCCACAGCTTCCCTGGGAACCTGTCCCAGTGCCTCCCCACCCTCTGCGGGAAGAATTCCTTCCTGATGTCCCATCTCCCTCTTTCTGTTTAAACCTGTTCCCCCTTGTCCTGTCACTCCCTGCCCTTGGAAAAAGTCCCCCCCAGCTTTCTTGTAGCCCCCCAGGCACTGGAAGGGGCTCTAAGGTCTCCCTGGAGCTTCCCTTCTCCAGGCTGAACCCCTCAACTCTCCCAGCCTGTCCCCATGGCAGAGGGGCTCCAGCCCTCCGAGCATCTCCGTGGCCTCCTCTGGACTCGCTCCAACAGCTCCGTGTTCTCCTGCTGTTGGGGGCCCCAGACCTGGATTGTGCTTTTCAAAGTCTCCCTCTGCGGTGGTCCCCATCTGCACCACTCTCTGCAGAAGCATCTCTGCTTTCCTTTTCTGGCACCCACAGTTTTTTGCCACGTTTCTATGATTTTCATAACCCCTCTGTGGGTGCCAGCGTGGGTGCCAGCACCGGCTCTCCCATCCTTCCCGGCTGCTTCCCGGGAAGGGCTTCCCAGAATCCTGCAGCCTTTTACACCAGCGAGAACATGGACACTTCAACCCTGGTTTGGGTGTTACGTACCCGCGGCTGAAAATAAATCCCCGAGAGCTCATGTGTTGCTTTCTGCTTTGTGCTTGATTAACCTTTATCACAGAGACGGTAACGAGACAGATCAGGGTCTGGGTTGTCTTCGGCGTTCAGAAACGCGGCGGTTTTGACGTGGGGCTGTGCTTGGCTGCTCCGTGGTTTGGCTTGTGCATAACAATTCCTTTCGTGGGGCTGCATTTACCCTGGGAAGTGCATTTACACTTGCCTGCTTTCTCTGCCTCTCGTTGAGATAATTATTGTTTTTTGGTATCTAATTACTTCTTTACTTTACATAAAGCTTAGTGATTTGAAAAGTCTCCTCATTTTGAAAGCATTGAAATCACACGGCACAACACAGGATTACTCACAACAGGACAGTGATTTTAAAAAATGGCTTTTAATCTAATAATTTTTAATTGCATAAATTAATTTTCCTCTAACTGCATTGAATTAATTAATATTGAAATGCCATTTATAAACCCAGATTTGTAAAAACTCTGGTTCCCCTGTGTCTGCATTTTCAGTCTTTAGGAGGTGGGTTCAGGTGTTTGCATAAGCAGTTTCCTAGTTCCGTAGGCTTTGGGAGTTGAGGGGGGCCCATAGTGGGCAGGAGCGTGCCGTGGGGAGGCGGCCGAATGCGTTAAGGTTAAACATCTCCTCGTAATTGAGGCATGACCTGCTCTGCTAGCCTCAGGGTCCTGGAAAGGCTTTCTCTGCGATTCCCCTCTGATTATTGAGCCAATATTTTCAGTATATTGGGCAGAAACTTGGCTTTGCTCATAGGGGAGGGATGGAAGCCAGGGTCCTGCATCAGAAAACCCTCGCCATGGATGCTCCCAGCTTTTGCCTGGAGCAAGGATGAGCTAATGACGGAGCGGATGAACTGACAGCCTGGAGCAAGGGTGAGCTGATGCTGGAGCATCCTGAGCTGGTGTCTGGGATCATAGCCAGACACTTCTGAATGAAACGCACCATCGTTCCCTCTGCCCAGCACAAAAGGGTCTCTGGCATGGCCCCAGGTTCATGCTGTGACCCGAATTCCCCCAAACATGATGCATCCGTTGCCAGCCGTGTCCGAGAGCCCTGGTCCTCCCTGGGGTGGCAAGGAGCCAGGTTTCTAACCCGGAGCAGCACCAGGAAGGTCAGACTTGCCCAAGAGATGTCTGTAAGGCAGCGGGATTGGGGCTGTACCACTGGTTTGGGCCAAAAAACTGGGAAATGGAGGGCGTGCTCAGCCCACAGCCTCTCCTCGGAGCAGGGAGTAAAGGCTTCATCGCAGCGGGAGAACAGCCGTCCTCGGCTTTTTATGATCTTTGATTGCATCTCGGGGGTCAGTGGAAAATATTTTATTATGCCTTTTGTCTCTATTTGAAATGAAGCTGGAAACTGATAAAATAAAAAGGCTATCTTCTAAGCTGACAGTTTTATT